GCTGCTTAATGGGTGTGTTCCTTGTGTACTGCTCACCTGGATTTCTCATATAATCCAGGACCACTGAACTAGGAGCTGCACCCCCCACGGTGAGCTGGAACCTCCCACATTAATCACTAATTTTAAAAAATGCCCCACAGATCTGCCTACAGGCCAAACTGATGGAGGCATTTTATTAATTAAGGCTTCATCTTCCCAGATGACCCAAGTTTTATCAAGCTGACATAAAAACAAACCAGCACCCATTAATAACCCTGGCCTAAAGGATTCAGTCTGGGTCCCATGGAGGAAAAAGGTCTATAGACAAAAGCTTTCAGAATTCAGCGGTTTAGAAAAAGCAGACTATACACATGGCCAATTAGGGCCAGGCAACACACTAAGGTCACACGTTAGGGAAAGCACACCTACCCTGACTTCCACACAAATTATCAGTCTTGTTCAGGTATTGGAAAGTGACCGGTGCATCTAAGACAGTGCTGGGAACTGTGGCAGAACAGAGGTCAGTACTCGGGTGATATACATGGGAGGTCTAGGATGGAGCAGACGGGACCCCCATCCCAGCAGCTGCTGTTGAGCCATGTCCAGATGGACAGTTGCTGTGTGTAAGTGCTTGGGGAAAATGATGCTTCAGAATAAACTTGGTTACAAGGCATCCCAGAGTCTCTGAAGTCTTTAAAGGTTGCTTTTACGAGGTTCTTTCTGGACACCTGTCTCACAAGGGAGAATTGACTGAGTAGCAGTAGGAGCTATCGCTGTTAATGTGACTATTCGCAGGTACAGTCTGGAGGCTGGGTCAGATCTGGTGGTATTTGTCATATTGGATTATATTTTTGTTATATTCTGCTATGCTCCTTTTCTGCTTTCACTGTTTGTTGACCATTAGGTCCTTAAGGACAGACTCCTGCTCTGCTTTTAAGTCCCTGTAGCCTCATCACCTAGCACAGTTCCCAGCCCTGAGCACCAGACCATCAGTATATAAAGAGGTGTCTTCAATAAATAACCTTACAAACAAATTTTAAAAATGTAGAAATCATTGGAAGCTAATGCAATGCAAAATGCCTTTCCTATCAGTAGAAGAAGCCTGAGGTGACACAGTGAGAAGGAGGTATTGTCAAAGATGTCCTAAAGCTGGTTTGTATCTCACTGAGGGAGTGCCAACAACTTTCAGTTCCCGACCTGGTTGAATATAGACTACAGGCAGAGACACTATAGCACTATGACAAAGGACCTGGCTTCTTAGGAGCCTAAATGGAAGGGATGAGTCAGTGATAAAACTGGTTTGTTAAAAATAGTCTCCAAGGATTTTAGCTAAAAGTCAGCAAGGCTCAAACTGGGGTTTATTAGTAGGTAGCAGTGTCCCAAAGTATCTTTACCTGAAGCTACAGGAACCACCTTCTAACTCGGTACTGTTATAATCCTGAGTGATGTTAAGAGGCCCAGGGCTCTAACGGACATCGTCTGCAGGGAAGATGCTAAATGCTGCAAGGCAAAAGGCAAGACTGACAATGTGTGCAGAAGAGGCTGTGATTGGGAGCCTTGGAGCTTGTTTCAACACCCCCTCTGTGCCTCTGGCCAACTATGTGTTGGAACTGCTGTCTTTATTCCGCTCACTTCCAATACATGACTGGAGGACTCCACATCTGCAAGAGGAAAATTACTGGGCAAAGAAGGGAAGGTCTTCTGAGACAGATGAACAGCCTTCATTAATTTAAAAGCCATAAACATAGGAAGATGAACAGGACTATCTCATAATGTCAGAGTTCAAAGGCACATTTAATTGTCTTTTTAAAGAAAAGCTGACCTTTATTCTTTTATTATCAGAAAGATTTTCAAGGGCAGTCTGGGCCTTGGGTCATTTCATTTTGACATGGAAATTCTTGAAAATAATTGTAAGGCTAGAAATACTTCACCCTGATGCGACTGAGTGAACACACTCAGAAGTAGAGAAATGAGCAATCCTGAAGCATTGGGATGCTAAGGAGATGCCTCAGCAACTCTGCAGAGCCTGCATAGACGGGAGATACATCATGTGAGATGTCACTAATGAAGTTAGCATCTACAGATGTCTTCTCTAACATCTTTATTAGCTTACAATACTCCATTTAGGAAAATTCTGGAGTATATCTCAGTGACTCTATACCTACATGTCTTTGTTGCATAGAGATTGGTTGACAAGAAATATACAGATGCATGTTCATAAACATTAAAAATTGAGAATCTTTATTCTGCCATTATAACATCTGTTTAAAGTATAAACCACAGAAATCCCAAGTCATTTTTAACGTATGAATTCTTTCAAATGTCTTTATATCTATCAGTTCAATCATCGTCACTAAGACCCAGATGTGCTATCCCAAGTTCCATCCCTGTCTTCCTTCTAGCCAAGCTCTTTCCTCCCTCTACCTCTATCCCCTACTGCTCTGCTCTCTGCTGCTATAATTTTGCCTGTTGAAAGAATGCACTATAAATGGAATTGCATATGATGTAGTAGAGTCCTCCTTCAATCTCATACAACTGATAAAAACAAGTGTCCGTTTGACTTACTGGTTTCTGTGATGGCAAACACTTACCTGATTTTCAACCTTAGAGGACCTAGAACCACTTAGGAGGCAAACCTTTGACAGTTGTGTGGTGGATATTCTAGATTAGAATAGCTGAGGTGGAAAGATTCACCCTAAGTGTAGGTGGTACCGTGGGTTGGGGGCTTGGACTGAATAAGAGGGGAAGTGGTTGAGTAAACCCATTCATGACTCTGCTTTCTGACTGAATGGGATATGACCAGCTGCCTCATGTGTCTGCCACCACGACTCTCTTGACATTACAGATTTATACTCAAACTGTAAGCCAGAACAAACCCTTCCTTCCTTTTAAAGTTGCTTTCGTCTGGTGTTTAGAGGAGTAATTAAGACAGTATCCATTTTCTAAAATTAAAGGCAATAATACATACTTTTAAAAAATTCAATCTTCCTTGGGTATTGATACAGGATTTTACCTGGATGGCCCTTTAACTATACAGATCTTGGTGTTTCATTTCCAATATATTTAATAGGAATATCTCAGTGTACACCTGAGAATTAAATTTTTGCCAAATTCTCCCAATTTGATTCTGATTGACCAACCAGACCTGGGAAACATTAGCCTAAGAGATATTCATTATGTGGGGGTCAATTGTCAGATTTTAACTTAAATGTCACAACAGAATCAAAGTTTAAAGTTCAGAAGAGTTCTATTGTCCTTGGCTTTAAGGCTACTTGTTATTAGTCACAGGGCCTTGACCAAGTGACAAACTTGCTTATTCTAGTTTCCTTTTCATTCCTGTGATAAAACATTCTGAGAAAAACAGCTTTGGGAATGAAAGTATTTACTTGGGTTACACTTCCAGGTCACAGTCTATCATGAGGGAAGTCGGGGCAGGAAGCCAGCAGCAGCCTAAAGAAAAAACCATGGAGGCATGCTGCTTGCAGCCCAGTCTCTGGCTTCCTCACTTGCTTATGCTTAGCTAGCATTCTTATATAGCTTTGGACCACGTGCCTAGGGGGTGGAGCCACTACAGTGATCTGGGCCCTCCTACATCAATGTAGACAAACAACACAGTCTTTCACAGACATGTCCACAACCAACCCGATGAAGACAACCACTCAGCTGAGATTCCTTTTTCAGGTGCTTCTGGGCTGTACCAACTTGACAGTTAAGGCCAGCTAGGACACTGTCAACCCTCGATTTTCTCTCTGTCTCTCAGGGTATGTGAAACACTCTCATCAGCACACTTGGCACTTAATGAATGGAAGAGGCTTGTACTATTAAGACTGGTGGCGGTAGCAGCAGTGACATCCTCACATTGTCTTTCTCTAAATCTTTGCATTTTGCTTATTTTTATCACTTCTTAGCCTTTCCTCTAGAGGTTACCAAAGTTAAGAGAATCAACTTTTGCAGTAGCCCAGCTATTATTTCTAGAAGTACAAAGCTAAGGGGTACTCACTGATCGTTCCTGACCCTCACTTTTATGGTTATAGCCTCAAAGATGAGCAAGTGGACATGCCTTTAATCCCAGCACTGGGGAGGCAGAGGCAGGTGGATCTCAGTGAGTTTGAGGACAGCCTGGTCTACAAAGTGCGTTCCAAGACAGCCGGGAGTACACAGAGAGAGCCTGTCTCAAAAAACTAATAAGTAAATAAATAGACAGATATATAAAGAAATAAATATGAGCAAGAAAAAAAGAATAAAAGGGCCAGAATAAAGCAGAAAGTTGTATTTTCTGAATAATTAGGGAATATTTTTAAAAATGAACGTTACTCACTTAGAGTTTCAATGTTAGATGTTTGGTGCAAATGCTTAGTGTGGAAACACACATACATACACCACACACACACACACACACACACACACACACACACACAACCAGTGGTTGAAGAAAACAGGCTTCCACAACTGCTATTCCACACGGCTGGCAAAAGCAATTCTGAGATTAGCTTGTTTTTAAGTCTCAAACTATTATAAAGTTCAGGAGAGAGCAGGCAAGATTATAACCCCATCACAAGTGTTAAATTTTAGTCTCTTCTATTTTTGTGGTACTGGCAGTGAACCCAGAGAATTCATGCACACTCCAACAAGCTCTCTACTACTGAGTTAGACACTCAGCCCTCTTCTCAGTATTTGTTTTGAGACAAGATCCCACTAAGTTTCCCAAGCTGGCCTTGGTCTTACTCCACAGGCACGGTGTGCCCTGAACGTGGGGTTTTCCTGACTCATCCTCCCAAGCAGCGAGGCTAAGAGGCTAGCACCACCAGGCATTCTTGTTTTAAAACTTTGGCAAAGGAGATGTATCCTGCACATTCATTGTCCAGCAATAGGTTTTATTTAAGCTCTGAAGTTCAAATGAGTGATAAATGGCTGCCCTTGATGACACAGAGAAAGAGCAACTCCATCCTCAAAGAATTATCAAACACAGCAATCACCGAGGACCAAAGATCAATAGACCAGCAGGAGCCCATGAGCCTTACCTGTTGTCAGCATCAGCACTGCACTTTGGGGACATCAGTTCAAAGGATTTGGTGAACTTCACCACCTGTGTCACACAGAGAAAGGTAAATCCGGGTCAATTAAAGCTTCCCACAGTTTAACATGACGCAGTAACAGCTTTCATCTCTGTAACGATCATTACATTAATTGAGGATTAAAGAGCCATTTTAAGTGGTGAGGTGCCAAGATGAAAGAAGAAAGGTCTAATCCACATCTTGTGCTTACCTTCTTCTATACCAGACAATGCCAATATCACTTTACCAATCTGTTTGGTACCTGGGCTTGCAATCTTGATATTTTATTATTTGTCATTTCTCTCCATTATTTTGCCTAAATAAGTTCTAAATAAGTTAAGTTCTTCCTCCTTAAAAACTCATGCTCTAGGCTTAATCCTGCCATTTTATTACTCAACGAGGCATGTGTAAATGTAGTTCATGCAAGAAGAAAAGCATATCATTGCCATGCAAAAAAAATCAAAGCCCAGTAATTCCAACTATATTGTTCTGGATGACAGTATCATTTTAAAAAATCTGTTTAATACAGCCATTTGGGCCAGTATTCTTTCAATGCTTGTCTTAGGGGTTCGGTTGCTGTGATAAAATTCCATGCTCCAAAGTCACATGGAGACGAAAGGCTTTATTCCAGTTTATAGCGCTTAGGTCACACTCCATCTATGAGGGAAATCAGGGCAGGAACTCAAGGCACAAACCTGGACACAGGAACTGAGGCAGAGGCTACAGCAGAGTGCTACTGACTGGCTTGCTCTTCTTGGCTTGCTCAGTCTGCTTTCTTATATATCTCAACACCATCTGCCCAGGGCCAATCTTATGGAGGCTTTTCTCAGTTGAGACTCCCTCTTTCCAGATGACCCTGACTTGTGTCAAGATGACATAAAATCCAGCATAGTCTCTGCTTTAGAACTAGTTTCGTCAACCTTCTGTTACTTCATTAACGAAATCAATTTTTTTCTACATGCTTACTTTACATTTTTGTAAAGTTAGGTTTTTATCCTTTAAAAATATTTATTCTTTTTTAAACGAGTGTGTTTGTGTGTGTGTGTGTGTGTGTGTGTGTGTGTGTGTGTGTGTGTAGGTATGTACATGAGAATGCAGGTGCCCAAGGAGGCCAGAGCCATGGATTCCCAGTTACAGGTAGCTGTGAGAAGCTTGATATGGGTCCTAGGAAACAAACTCAGGTCCTCTGTAAGAGGCGTACATACTCTTAACCACTGAGCCATCTCTCCAGTCCCCAAAGTCATGTTTCTAACTTTTTGAAAATTGTCCTCTGACACAATAAATGTGCACTGAGTTCCTGCATGTGTCAAACAGTATGACAGGCATTGGAGCTATGGAACTTCAAGTGCAGAAACAATTAAGATAAATGCCACTGGGTTCCCGGAGCTTACTGTAGGGGGCTTGATTTTCCTTGACTCCTCAAATAAGTGTTCCGTGGGGGGAAAATAACTGCACTTCTGGTTTTACACTTTAAAAAATCAATCCTGAGAAATGTCAGGAGAATAAAGACCCTTTAAAAATGTATTTTCCATCTGGAAGCTTTTTATAAGATAGAATAGGAAAATTTAAGATATAGACGCATAGGTTTAGAATCACCAATAATATAAGACATACAAAAACCTCTTGATAGGACTTCAGAGTATTTAATTCTTAAAATGTGAATGATGAATATTTGAAGCTACTAAAATTAAAACAAACAGACACCCCCAAACAAACAAACAAACACTTTGCTGGAAAAAATAAGACCAAATATAAGGATGGAGATGCAGTTTCATTGGTAGACAACTTGCCTAGCATAAAGCCCTAGATTGAGTCTCTAGCTTTGCATATACTATACATGGACACATGCCTGTAATCCCAACACTTGGGAATTGAGGAGGGGATAAGCTCAAGCTTGTTCTAGAGTCGGAAGTCATTTAGGGAGTCTGAGGCCAGCCTGAACTACATCAGACCCTAAAAACAAAAGCAAAATAAAAGGGAAACAGATTCAAAATACTTGGTATTATTTCCATTGTTTGCTGTTAAAAATATATGTTTCAGGAATAAAGAGAAATGCATGGATATACATCTTCCAAGTTCATGTACCCTACAGTAAACTAGCCCATGAAGCCATGGTAAAATAAAATATAATGGGCCAGACATGGAGGCACATGCCTTTAATCCCAGCACTCAAGAGGCAAAGGAAGGCAGATATCTGTGAGTCCAAGGTCATCTTTGTCTACATAGTACATTCTAGGACAGCCAGAGCTGCATAATAGAGAAAACTTGTCTAAAAAGAAAAAAAAGAGGGTCTGGAGAGCTGGAGAGATGATTCAGCAGTTAAGAGCACTGGCTACTCTTTCAGGGGACCTGGGTTCAATTCCCAGCACTCACATGGCAGCTAATAACTGTCTATAACTACCATCCTAGGGGATCTGACACTTTCACATCAGTAAAATACCAAGGTACATAAAATACAAATAGATAAATTATTTTTAAAAGGGGTGGTGATGCACGCCTTTAATCCCATCACTTGGGAGGCAGAGGCAGGTGGATCTCTGTGAATTCAAGTCCAGCCTGGTATGCAGAGCAAGTTCCAGGACAGGCTCCAAAGCTACAAAGAGAAACCCTGTCTCAATAAACAAACCAAAAAGTTTAAGATTTATAAAAAAACAATTTAGGGCTAGGGTCATAGTTCAGGAGGCAAAGTGCTTGCCACACACATAAAAAGACCTGTGTTCGATTCACCAGCGTATGAAATAAAGCTATTGTGTGAGGCGACCCATGCTAGAAACTCCAGTGCTGTGGAGACAGAGACAAGCAGATTCCCTACAGTCACTGACCAGCCAGCTTAGCCTATTTGTTGAGTCCCAAGTCAATGAGAGACCCTGGCACTGTCTCTGAAAACAAGGTGGGTGACATTTGAGGTATAAAAGCTCACATTGTCCCCTGGCCTCTACATGCGTGTATAATACATAATGCAGACATTATGCATGAGACTAGAATGTACATGCATAATCTCATGGGCCAATTCTTATGTTCATGTTCATCTCCCACCTCTTTCTCCCTTCCTCCCCCCTTTCTCTCTCAATAAAGTAATTTAAACTTTAAAGCCCAGGATCAGAATTCTTTTTGATGCCCAAATGTGACTCCTTCTTCTAGATGGAGGGAATTAATCTATAGTTTTTCCCCTTAGGTTCTTTAGCAGCTCAAAGAAAAGCTATTGGTGCTGTTTTAACTTTATGCAACATACTTCAGATTTGAATTTGTTGATTTTGTTTTGTTTTCTCTTTTTCCTTGGAAAGCCTCTCATGCCATTACATATATAGAAAACACTCGCAATATTCGTTCACTTACATTTTTACATTTTAAAAACCATAGATGCTTGTGTTTATTTGTTATCACCGTTGTTTTGAGAAAGAATTCCATCTGTAATACAGTCTGTCTTCAATCTCTCAATCCACCTGCTTCAGCTCCCTAAACTAAGACTATAAGCATGTGGTACCATCCGCGCCTCTCCAAAAATTTAAGATCTTTTGGTATTGAACTAAGAAGGATTAGAAAGAAGATGAAGTATTTAAGCTTGAAAAATATATAGACAAAAATATGTGGATATATGAAATATTTGGATAAAATGTTTTCATAAGTGAAATACTTGGTGAAATCCCTGTATGGACCACTAGGTTGTGTAGAAGAGAATTATTTAGGGGTAGGGTTAGGAACCAGGCATGGTAAGAATGAGGAACAATTAATAACCTACAGCTAGTGGCAAACAATATAAGAATAAAGGAGCCGCAGACCTGAGTTCCATCAAGAGAGTAATAAGTAAGTTCAGTAGTGAGACTGGAAGCCAATCAAGGTCAGAGAGGCATCACGGCATCAGCCTGGGGCCCATAATGTGTGTGAAGTTGCTTTGGAGCCAGGCAGTCTGACTTTGAAGGTTTCTGGTGCATTCTAGACTACTGCTGTCACAAATCTAAGTTTGAAGCCATGTATTCAGGAACCCATGGCTGTAGGGAAAAGGGGCCAGTCAAAGAAACACACCCTGAGCAGAGCCAATAGGTCAAATTCTTATCACTACCTGCTTTTATAAATTAATTTTTATTAAAACAGAGCCGTGTTCATTTTCTACCGAATCATTACAAATGATACTATATCATCCATGAATTCCCAACTATTTACTGGGTAAACCTTTACAGAAAATAAATTTGCCAATCTTTGGTCTAGAGCCTTCTGTGGACCAGGTCAGTTGTTAAGGGCTAGTGATAAATTATTAATGATAAATAGATGTGATTGATCTATAATTCAGAAAGGAGAATTCCTGGAGTTATAATCTTCTAAAGTAACATTATAATGAAAGAATTTTTAGGTATTAAGGTGAACAGCAGGAAATACACTTGGGGACACACACATGTCCTGGTTGTCACAGAATAACCACTCTTTTAATTAAGCATGCCATCCTGGGATAATAACAGTGCCTTCTTTCACTTTCACAAGCACCTCTAATAGCCAGTTCATGTCTTTATGCTTTAAAATGAATCTACACAAAGTATAATGAATTTAGCTGGGCATGGCTGATGACACCATCTGTGATCCCAGCACTAAGAAGACTAAGGCTGAAGATCTAGACCAGCCTGGGCAACAAAGACAGATCCTAGAAACAGAATTGGGATGAGGGAGGGAGGGAGAGAGGGAGGAGAGAGAGAGAGAGAGAGAGAGAGAGAGAGAGAGAGAGAGAGAGAGAGAGAGAGAGAGAGAGAGAGAAAGATAGAGAGAAACTGAAATCCACTCTAATAAATACTTGTTTGTGATAAAATACCCACAGCTGTAGAAATCATAACCAAAAAGCAACAGATGAAATTATAAGGTAAAGAGAACAGAATTCACATTGTATTCATGATTTGAGCCAATTCTGAATCTTAGTTTTATTTATTTCATAAAATGTGCTGCACAAAACTCAATTCCGATTTTATTATGAGTATGCAATGAACATAGATTAAGGACATATACACTTGTGTACGCAAATAAAGAGAGTTCTAAGGGAAGAAGCAGA